AAACGACGTGCAACAATGGGGAATAGTCGGCAACTAATTGATGCTCTTGTTAATCATCAACTGTTTTGATAGTAGATGAATCATTTAAAGACCCTGTTGATCCTAAAATTGCCTAAGAACTCTTACTTCGGCCTCTCGACCGCATACATTCTTCGATTTCTATAGTCCACAATGAAAGGAGGCTGATTATCTTTGGCACTTTAAAGGCATAAACCAGGAATTTACAAAACGGAAGTTTGGATCCATCGGTCCGTTATCTGTAGCACTTCTCCTTGCCATGGGTTGCAGGTGTGGTGGAGCCTATCCCAGATGTCTTTTAACCAAAAGGCAGGGTATACCTTGGACTGGTTGCCAGCCAAACATAGGGTGTAAAGAGACCAATGCCCATTCACACCTTTTGGCCGAATTAGTCTTAAACCATAGAAACATGTTTTTGAAACGCGGGAGGAAGCCTGAATGCCTGAAAAAAACTCACAGGTGCTTGCAGTTGGCGAAACAATTGTTGATCTTATTCATGATGTCAACTAGATTACAAGCAAATGCAGTACTACCCAACTTCCCTTGCGTTTTGAGTATGGGTGTTACAAACAGCTTGGAATCTGAAAATTGGTTTTGATACAAGACTTTAAAGTGTACTCATACGTGCCTCATTGTGATTTATTGGTGAGATGCACACCGCTAAAATTTACCAAAAATGTTTCGCCCCCTTGCAACTTGAATCAACAAGAATTGTGATCGAGGCTAAAAAGTTGTCATTGTTGTTCCTGCAGCCCCCGGCCTAGAAGACGCAGCAGGTCACGCCCCACCCAAAACCCCGACCCCGCCCCAGCCGCTCCCGTTCCAGGTCCTACTCCAGATCCAAGTCTCGCTCCCCTAGGAACAAGAAAGCCAACGCCAAGTCCCGCTCCAAGTCCCGCTCTCGGTCCCGCTCCAGGTCTGCCAGCCGTTCTGTCTCCCCTCCGAAAAGAGCGTCTGTGTCCGGGTCCCGATCTAAAAGCCCCCCCACATCAGCAGCCGAGA